TTCTTCTGTTTTTAGCTTGATGCATACTCCTAAACCATGACATGAGAAAAGCTTATGCTAGAGCCATATATTAGTGGGGAGCTGGGTTTTGAGAAAAAACTTACATTAGTTACTTTGCCTTGCAGCATTTAATATCTTGGCCATACTTACCACTTCATAGCTGTCAGGTTGAATGAAGGTTTATAGAGGACCCAAATGTAGAGATGGAAGGAGACAGAGATGAGTTTTTGCTTATTTAATGTTGATCCAAAGGCAACAGAAGGTAAAGTCCAAAAACAAAATACAGCATAACCAAAAAAAGGGAGACATCAGGGAAAACATGCAATGAGAAACATCACAAGAGGGGTATATATGGGAGACTGAACAAAGACTGGGCTAATCAGCAGGCGAGGAGCAGGTGTGGATGGAAGCATCTAGATAGGAGCTAGGAGAAGGAGACTGACACATGGGGGCAACAGAGGGCAAATAAGAAATACAGAAAACAACACAAAATGGAAAAGAAACCAATGAAAACTCAAAAATAAAACTTAAACAGAACAGAAACCATGACAATAATGACCAGATTAGTGAGGTGCACACCTTATATTTGTAGTTTTTACAGATTTTCCTACCTGGGTAGTGGATCTCTGTAGCTCCTCCAGAGTAAGTGAGTATGCAAGGCACACTGGTTACTTATTTTTTAATGTATTTATTGAAATACATTTTTTACTCTATGAATAACTTTTCTTATAATATCACACTACTTTGTGTTGGTAATCCATAAAATCCTTATTGAATGCATCAAAGTTTGCGACTGGAACTTGCCCAAATGTGGAAAAGTTCATAAATATTTTTCACTGTCTCAACAATAGCTGCTAATATATTAGAGCTTTCAAAGGAGCGGCTAGTGTGTAAATGTGTGCATTACAGAAAGAGAGTCAGAGAGTTCTTCTGGCAGGTCAACACTTCACATCTGGACTGATTTGTCTAGGTTCAGCTGGAGGTGATGTAACTTTGTTATGCAACAGCTGCAGGAAAGCTGTATTGCTTCTCTGCAAGGGTCAGGGTTGGGCCCAGGCTACAGCGTGTTCTATAAAAAAAAAAGGTGACAAAAACAAACTATTATGTTATGAGTTTTTCTAATCATAAGTCTTATTTTACATGTATTTTCAAAAGCTAAGGATTGGATGAAGAGCTATTTGAGAAAATGTGTGTGTATCAGCAATCCCCCCTTAAGTCCCCAGCAAACTGTGCATTTTCTTTGCCCAGCAGTGGAACTTACTTAAAATAGATGTAAAAAAAAAAAATTACAAAGAAATCTTCATCCAAGATACAGTAGTTCCAGTTTTAATAGTTGTACTACTGCACGTTTTCCTAGAAACATCCAGCAATGTGGCTTGTAGCTGTTTCTGGCTCATACTGCCCTCTTGCTTTCAAAGGAGGCGAGTGATGTTGATAGAGATGCTCTGATTATTTTCTAATACCTTTTATTTTCATGACCTTATCTTGATTTTCTAGGAATAAATGATTAACACTGACAAACTGATGGATTTTCATACTATAAAAATATAATCACTAAAAAATAAGAAGTCATCAGATCTAAATATGAGAAAAACATTTTACTATCCATATGATTTGCAAGGGGAATAAAATGGCATTTTGATTCTGAATTAAAGGAAATTTAACCTTTTCTTTATGCTTCATAGCTACAAAATTAATTGTAAGAAATATGTTGTTTAAACTTATAAGTTTACAAATATTAAAAACTGTGGATAATTAATTCATGATACTTGTGCAGCCATTTAATTGAACTTATTAAGTAATTTCCTCCAAACCTTATGAAAAAATGTATGCTTTTAGATAAAAGAATAAAACCCTGAGAGTTGGAGCACATATGGTCCTACATTCCTCACAGCCGGGAGTTGGTCTGCTCACATGGAGACCAAAGCACCAAATATCTACAAACATCTCTGCACCTATTTGCTTTAGTGTTTCAGGGTTTTATTTTAACTTTTGAGCACGGTTTGACCTCAGCTTGGTAACAGCTGGAGTATGTTTCAGTAGTTGTGCTTTCTAGAGTTTAAAAAGAAGACTTTCAGGTCATCTAGAACCAAAAGTTTGACCCATTTTCTTGCTCTAATTCACCTTAATTTAAGGGGGAAAAAAATCTTCTTTAGATTGTATTTGATCTACAGAATCTTTTAGATGCCCTGTTATATTAGACTAAATGAGTTTTAGCAACCGAGGCTGCAAAACTACCTTAGGTTTGAAGCTGGTGTTTGAGCTTTGATCAGTATAGACCCCTATTTTCTTATGAGATATGTGTTCTCTCTTACATTACTTCCAGTGGATACTGGTTGACCTAACTTGGCGCCGGCTGTATGTGAGGACTTGGGGCTCAACCGTGTTGATTCCTTCACAGATTTTATCTGCTTAGTGAGGCATTTAGTTACAAACCTAATCTGCACTATTGAACATTTTCCATTAATCTGAGATTACATTTTTTAATAACTGCACAGCGTTTTGCTTCTTCAAGATTTTTTAAGTTTTGTTTTCTTTCTTGTTTATAGACTGCGACTCTGGGTCTCTGAGCAAGACCCTTAACCCCCGATTGCTCCCCGAGCGCTCCACAATGGCAGCCCACTGCTCCCCAAGGGGATGGGTTAAATTTTGTGTTGCACCGATGCCATTTTCTGGCCCGGATAGCAGATACCTGGCTGTGCAGTATCAGCTGATACCGATACCATCTGTTTGAAATTGATGTGTGTTTGTGTATATATGAAGAACTGCATACCACTGGGATGTAAAATAATCGCCATCATGGCTTTGTCGAGCTGCTGCCTACCTTTGTGAAGCAGGAAAAAGACTAATACAAAGTGAATCCAGTAGAACTTTTTATTGCCTACCTTGAATGGGTGGCAATAGTTGAATAAACTTTTGGCTCTCAAAATGGTATCGATGCCCTATTTGTTGGTACTCGCCGATACGGATACCACCATTTTAGTGCTGGATTGGGGCCCCGTCGGATACTGGTATTGGTGCAAAACTAGTTAAATGCAGAGGTAAATTTCTCCGATGTGAGATCAATAAAGTTCAATTAATAGATTAAATAATATCAAACTTTTGTGTGTCTGTATACTTCCGTTACCTTTTTGCTTTGCCACTAAGACACCTACATTTTCCGACTGTTGACCAACAAAGGGAGTTTGTATTATTCAATATTATGTATTGTTGTGTTTTCATATCTGCGTTTTGTTAAAGATTGATCTTTTCTCCAATTTCAACAGATTTTTCAACTGTGCTGCTTTTCAGCATCTTCTGTTCTATTTTAGGGTTTTTGTTGTGTGAAAGTTTTTGTCTAGACTTCTCATTAGATGGTAACCTGCATAGCTGCCTGTGGCAACTTTGATACTGTGCACACAAATGTATTTAAAAATGTGATTCAGCATCCAATTTCTGTGTTTCAAATTCAACTTTCACTAAATAGCCAAAAAGATTAGTATCAAATATTGTTTGTCGATCCATATAGTCTGCCAATATATCTAACGATTATATCGCTAAAGCTGGAAGTTAAAACAATGAAAAGGACGTTAAAAAAGATTTTTATTGCTGGAATTTATGGGTCTATCGTAAAACAAAGAATGTGAACAGAATGAATAAACATGTGGATTAAAAATAAATGTTTTTTTTTTAGGTATAGTGAAGGATCTGCAATCTCACTAATATATTCACTAATATATATATTTAGGGACATTCTGGGTTTGTTAAAGTGTTTTTTTTCGTGGAATAATATGTAAAGCTCAGAGGTCACAGAATGCTTTTGCTGTCAGTAAAAAGATATCTTAACTTTAATTTATTGCGTTAATAAAATACAGCAATTTCTGGCATCCATATTTAAATTTTTAAAGAGATCGTTAATAAAGACTACGGCATATGAAGTTATTATAAAGACAGTAAAGTAAACCACTTTTATTTGCAGTGCTAACTAGCTTTATCCGTACCTCTGAAGATTCTGATTGGATTTGACATAATCTGACAAGACAGGTCATACACTCATTGCAGATCGTCTCATACAGACTTACAGCTTGGATGGTTAAAATGTAGAGAACCTGTTAGGTTAGTAATGCTAGACCAGATTTTATTGGACCTTTTTTTAAAAGCGTTTTATGTCTGAAAAAATTAAACAATGAAAGTACTTCTCTGGTTATTGGAATTCCAATTTGCCTTGGAGAAACCACACAGAAGTCTGTCTCTTCAATGCATGGTATGTATTTAATATGTTCTTGTGATTTGCAGATGACAAATCAGAATAGCTTTGAGTGAAGGAAGTAAAGAAAAACAATGGGATAGTTGGTTAAGTTTATAATTTATAGATTAGGATTAACTACCACTGTTTTAATTACACTTATCAGAAAGCTGTTTTTACATATAAATATTTTTTGTGAGATAGAGTACTTGTACAGCTTGTTTTCACCACAACAGTGGTTTACATAGCTATGAAACACATGTAAAGATAAAATAACCTCTAGTTGCTTAAATCCAGTTCTGTTGAACTCAAATCAATGAATTAAGATATACAGGTCAGAGGTTTATACATAATCATAATTTTTCTTGAGATCAGTACTAATTTTGAGCTGTTTCTGGTTGAAGCTTTTCATGGTCAAACAACAGTATGAATTTTTTCCGCTCTGGAATAGGGAGCTTTTAAACTCAAGGATATTGCACCAGTTATAATCATGTGGTAGCATCATCAAATTCTGTGGACTAATTTTTTGTACCAATGGTAAACAAAGTGAAACTTCAAAACTGAAAGGCTGAAACCTGGATTGGTTCAATGTTTCAACTGGACAATGATGCCAAGCTCTCATCAGGAGGGAAAAGAATGTCTGAAATAAACCGTTGACTTGAGCTTTTAAGTAAATGTAAATATTGGACCAAATCCCTGTTTTTCCAATTCTTTGTTTCAGAGGACACCCTCTTTATCAAGATTCTGTTAAACCCTAGAGTTCGGAGGACTTGAGATGCTTCAGCTGCAGCATGCCTTCACCTCCTTACGTCTGAAATTGAAACAGCAGAGGAACCCATATTCTTCCAGTGTCCCCCCGATTCTGCGATATCCCACAGCCATTCGTTCATCTTCATGGCCTCCATGCCACTGCTCTCTTTCACAGCTTTTAAATGTCTACCCTCTTCTTGGACTACATGGTCTCCTGAAAACCTTCCTCTTCATCCTAACTGTCCTGTGCTTATTGCCCCAACAAGCACATGCAGCCTGGTTTCGGGTTGGAGTGGTGGGACCATGGGGGTGTGACCCCCTCTTTGCCAAGGCACTTCCAAATGTTGCAGCGCAGCTGGCTGTCAATCGCATCAACAAAGACCCCAGCTTGTCCTATGCTGCTACATTTGTCTTTTCTGTGCTTCAGGTAGAATGGAAATAGTTTCTTATAAAACATATTTGAGTTCTAGTCTATGCAGGGCAAGTTTGTGGTTGACAGGGGTTGGGGTTAAATGCCAAATGGCTTATTAAGTGTTTTTTCTTTAGGAGCCCTGTGAAACATCCAGAGCACTGGAGGCCTTTGTGGGTTTCCACACCAAAGCCTCTGGGTACATTGGACCAGCCAATCCAGGGTACTGTGATGCTGCGTCAATGCTAAGCAAAGGCTGGAACAAAGTAAGTGGAAATACTCAAGTTGTTATGTGTGCATTTATGTTCTTTTACCCAGAACAGTTCTTAAGAGAGTGTAAGTAAGCATGTTTATTTCTCTACTCTCTCCTGCAAGGCAATATTTTCTTGGGCTTGTGTAGGTTATGATTTGGACGATGTTCGGAACCATCCAACATTTGCCCGATCTATGGCAAGACCCACAGCAGTGCTGCACAGTGTCATGAGCTACTTCAGATGGGCTCACATTGGTATCATCTCTTCTTCTGAAGACATTTGGGTGGATACGGCAAATAAGGTTTGAAAGTTTGTCTTTTGTCCTTTTGCAGTAAAAACGGGGACTTAAGGTTGTTTATGTGTTGGAAAGGAAAGCTACATAGACAAACAAACAAACACATTTTTTGCTTTTGTGATATTTGAGTTCATGTCTTGTCATTAAGCATATGTACTGTCCTGTGTAGGTCGCTGACTCTTTAAGGAGCCATGGGATGCCTGTCAGATTTGTTATTTTTATGGAAAACACCCCTCATGGCATAAGGAGAACTTTAGCAAAGGTCCGCAAGATGAAAGAAATAAGAGGTAAGAGTGTTGTTTGTTGTTGACGAGGGTTTAGGATGCTTGTTAGACTGGTAACAAAAAAAGGAGAGATTTCCAATATATTGTAATCTAATTCTTCTTGTCCTTTTCTCCCCTAGCTGTGGTTCTCTGCATGCACTCGGTACTCATTGGTGGTTCGGTCCAAAGACTTCTCTTAGAAACAGCCTACGACATGCAGATGATCGATGGCTCCTTGGTGTTTATACCATATGACACCCTGCTCTACAGTCTGCCATATATTAATGCAACCTACCCTGCTGTGAAAAACAACAGCAAACTCCTGCGGGCCTACGATGCTATGCTGACTATCACCATTGACTCACCCAAGGTGTCATTCTATGATGCCTACAGAGAGGCTATGGAGAGGGGGGAGGTGGCAAGAACACTGACACCCCAACAGGTACAGGTTTGACCAAATGCTATGGTTTGAAAGGGGTTCAGTTCGTAAGTTTACCTCCCGGACAGGCGAAATGTTGACATCTCCTTTTATGGCTCAGGTGTCTCCTCTGTTTGGCACTATCTACAACTCCATTCTGATCATGGCTCATGCAGTGCATCGTGTTCGTGAGTCTCAAGCATGGATGTCTGGGGGAAACCTAGCACAACGAATACGTAATTTGGATTTTCAGGTACGGCAAGGCCAGGAAAGCAGTCAGCTCTCCACCTTTTTCTAATATCTACAAGATAACAGTCCCTACAAAGGGTCTGATTTACATTTTATTTATTTGCAGGGCTTTAGTCATCGTGTCAAAACCAGCAGCTCTGGGGCTGTTCAGCTCGACTACCTCATCCTGGACACAGATGGGACTTCCATGAATTTGATGCCAACATACACGTATGTCTGAGCTGATATTTGTCACATTGGGGGGTGATTTGAAGGGGACCCAAATGGAGATACAAAAAGCCAAAGTGGTTTCTTGAATATTTAATTAACCAAAAAGTTCAACAGAAGAAAAATGAGAACCAGGAATACTTACACAAAGGGGGGAAATAAATTACGACAAACCAGCAAAGACTGACTGAACAGGAGGCGGATATATGGGAGAGACAAACAAAGACCAGGCTAATTAGCAGATTGGGAGCAGGTGTGAACAGAGGCAAGAAGGGAGCTAGGGAAAAGGAGACTGACACAACAGGGCAAACACGAAATATCTAAGAACTTAAATACAATCAAAAATAAGTAGAACACAAAAATGGAAATAAGACCAATGAAAACTCAGATATAAAACTTAAACAGAACCAAAACCATGACAGTGTTACAGTAGCAGCCATTCAAAATGGCCCTTCCCAGTCAAACGCAGAATGGTACCCAACTTCCCTGAGACTCCATGCAAAATCTCCTCCAACTTCCAGCAAATGGAGTGACACCCTCCCGCTCCTGGGTGTGCTTTTTTTTTTTTTTACTGACTCCACCCTTTCACCAAATTACAGGTTCTGACCAGGAGATGGCGCTTTTCTTTAGATCTTAATCTCCACAAATCATGTCAGAAAGAATATTTTTCTACAAAGATTGATGTTTAAAAAGGAATTGTAGGGAACCTGCCAAGGACCCATTAAGGAAAGAGGGGACATTTTGAATGGCTACTGTTAGCGTTTAATGATTTCTTATTGCAGACAGACATAAGATGTATTAAGAAATTCTTGCTATGGCTCTTTTTAAGGTTCATGCATGCATGCCACACATTAACATTTCTCATGTGCAAAAAATATATTACCAGATTCACATGGTATTCCCTTTAAATTATATTTAGTATAAGCATAATTCCCATAGAGGGATATTATCCATTACAGATGGCTTCCAAAAAAAAAAAAAAAAATAACTGTAACAAAGATCGTAAAAGATACTAAAAGCATGCTGCATCTAGCATAATCTAAAGAGAAGAGATTTAAATGAGTAGCAGAGAGAGATGTCAGGTTGCACATTTATGTCTCTTTGTCCAATTTATCTAATGTTATATTACATTCCCAGATAATAGTACCTCTCTGACAAAGAACAGTCTAAATGAACTGTTCCCTCCTTAATTGTACCACTGCTCTTACTAATTAATGGCAGAATTGATGCGGAGATGGGCATGGTTCGCTTCCTGGGTCGAGACCTTCACTTTCCACAAGGCTATGGACCGAGGAGGGATTCTTCATGCTGGTTCACACCAGGAGTTATCTGCTCAGGAGGTCAGGAACCTCTCAGAAACATGCATTCACAGTTAGTAGCTTCTAGTTGATTAAGATGTTTGATCTGCTGGAAAGATTTTTGTACAGCGTTATAGATTAACCTCTTTTCTTTTCTGTTCTTGTTTTCTCTTTTCTTCTGCAGGAGTGGATCTTTTCTTCACCTTCAGTATGTTCCTTGGTTCTATTGCGGCTTCTATTTTCGCTGTGGCTCTTCTCTACTGCATCAGGTATGAAATCACCAGCTACCCTTATGATTAGGTACATTACTGGGACATACTTTTCAGCCTTTTTCTTACCATCCTTGTCTTTGACGTCTTTCTCAGGCGACGTGTCAATCAGATTCGTATGGTCAGAGGTCCAAACAAGATCCTGCTCACTCTTCAAGATGTCACATTTATAAACCCATCCCTTAGTAACAAGGTCTGACTTTGTGTTCTTTTTTTAGAAAATACATTTTTTGTTTTTTTCTTGGGCTACAATAAAATTCCCGCACTAGCACTAAATAACTCCTGAAAGTTTTCTAAACCAGGAATAATTTTCGGTCCACAGAAGCTGAGCCTAGATGACAGCAGGACCAGCGGCGGCCGAAGCATATCTGAGCGCAGCCTCAACACACCCGCCTCCTCCCAGTCCCCAGCCACATACGAAAATTCAAACGTTGTTATCTTTGAGGTCAGATTTCAGGATTTAATCCAAACTAATATGATTTTTTTTTTTTTTTTGCTTTCAATTCCAAAAGACATCTTGGGTAATCTTGCATGACCATCAGCGGAACAAGATGACAGATTTGAGACTTTCATAGTAATCATCATCAGTCAGTGATGTGATCAGGAACAAGGACACTTCACTAAAGTTCTCAAAGACAGTAGCCAGATGGGAGACACAGATAAACTAGGGGGGGGGGATCATCAAAGGTTTTCACTGAATTCCAAGTTTGTACTCAAGCCAATGTCATACAAAGAGTATTTGAAAAACTGATAAGGTATAAGAGTTTAATCTTATACCTTATCAGGTATATTTCAGATCGCATATTGATAGTTCGCTATAAACATATTCTGCCCTGGGTACATTAGGGAATAAAAAAAATAAATACATGAAGAATAATAATTTTCAGGCAAGTTTGACCAGACATATCCTGATGTATCAAAGGGCATAATGCCACATAAATGTTAGAGAAAACTTTGGGGGGAAAAAAGGAAAAAAGTAACAGCATCATAGATCATCTATTATATTCCAGCCTTACTTCCTACACTTGCTTTAGTTTTAAACTTCTAATTATTAAATATTAAGTATGTTTGGACAACTTTAGATGGGAAGCTATTTATAGCAGATAAAACAAAAGCCCTTATGTGTTAATAAAAAAGGAGCATGTAGAGCTCCGTTTATTTTATTAAGCCCTCCCCTAGGAGGCTATATTTAGTACCGGTATGTATAATTTCAACTTAATTTGGTATTTTCTCACAGTGTGTTTTGCAGTACTTTCTTGTCATTCTTGTATTCTATCTAATTGTAGTTTACCTCTTTTTTTGCACAGAAGTAGAACTACTACTTTTTCCATTTTGTTATACACATAAGGTCACAATAAAACACTTCTGATTCTGTTACTGTCTTATGTTCTTTATTCTTCCCTATTTGTACGAATAGTTAAGAAAAAAAATGGCTGTATCTAAATTTAATTTCGGTACATAGATGAGAAGAAACCAATGTGTCACTTTGCCCCAACTGAAACTTAAAGAGATCTAATTAAACAATCTTTCTCCTGACCAGGGTGACTGGGCATGGCTGAAGAGACTACCGAATGGCAAGTTTGGCAGCATTAACCCGAAAACCAGTGATGTCTTTGAACTGGTATGTGAAACATTTGAGAGATGGTAAACAATGTAATTTGCTTCTTTCCCCCTTTTTTTCTAAAGCAGGATATTGTTTTTGAAGTTAATACCAATATTTATTATCCTGGTGGGGTTCAAGGCCTATAGCTTGTAAATTTATAGTTGCTTACAATCCATCCATTCATTTTCCGTCAGGCTTATCCAGGCTGCTGGGGTACTTGCTGACTAGCAAGTTGTAGTTTAATGTTTTGCAGATTATAAATCAGTGTTTTCTGATTGAAGCCCTGAGTATTTTTCTCTGACTCTTACTGAACAGAGCCAACATTCATTGATTGTCCAATTTAATCTTACAAAATCTTTGTTAGTTTATATTGCCATGGAAACCTGCATCCTCTCTTCTTGTAAATGAGTCCTTTTGTCTTATTTTCTACAAAATGCAAAGTATCTTAATTTTATAAAATCTTATTTTCTGGTAGTAGGTGAGTAACTTTGTGTTCTGTAACTTCTACCCTTTATTTCAGATGAAAGACATGCGTCATGAGAATGTCAACCCTTTCCTGGGCTTCTTCCATGACTGCAGTGTGTTTGCCATTGTCACTGAGTTCTGCTCCAGAGGAAGCCTGGAGGATCTGCTGCTGAATGATGACGTCAAACTCGACTGGATGTTTAAATCATCTCTGCTGTTGGACCTTATTAAGGTAAATGACAACATGGAAGGACCAAGAGGCACCATGAATGGAAAAAAACACATCAATTTAAAACTTATAAATCGTCCCATTAAAAATCCAATTTGAAAAGCATTTTCTAATTGTACATTTGAAACTGAATTAGCAAAGGTTAATTTTAGCTTGTATGTATTACTCCATTATCAATTACTACATTTTGGATATCTTGGATGTTTACAACAATGTATAAATCAACAAAACAGTTACAGTTTTTCCTCAGATGTAACCAGCTCTTTTATTGGTTAGAGTGCCATACTTGGTTACAGAATTGACCAATGAGGGAGCTGGTTACATCTGAGGAGCAACTGGAATAGCTTTAACTGGTTTTCCATGTGCTAAGGACCACAAGAGTCACAGAGAAGGTAAATGGAAAGGGTAAAGTAAAAAAGAAAAACTGCAAAAAGGGTTTAAAGAGTGGCATGAACAGACTTTTGGAAGGGTAGGGGCTGAATAGAAAAAAGGGCAAATACACTAAAGAGGGTCCTCTCTTTAGTAGAGGGCACTTTAATATGTGTTTTAGCTCCCAAAGGGACACTTTAGCATGTATTTTGCCTCCCTAGGGGCCACTTTAGCATGCATTTGGGCCCCCAAAGGAGCACTTTAGCATGCATTTTGGCTCCCAAGGGAGCACTTTAGCATGCATTTTAGAAATTTTTTAATATCAGATTTATGAAATGGGGTTTTTAGCTGTATTTAATTTTGGCTTATAATAAATACAAGTTACAATCCCTCTTTAATAATTCCATTTAAATTGTGCAAGTAAAAAACAATTTTTAAATTGGTTTTCTAATTTTATGAGATTTGAAAAAAGATGGTCTCCCATACAACAGAAGTTAGTTGGAAAATAAGATTTAAACAGAGAGACAGATGAAGCTAAACATACTTTGCTATTTTCCCTATTAAAGGGTATGAAATACCTTCATCATCGTGGAGTGTGTCACACCCGTCTGAAGTCTCGTAACTGTGTGGTGGATGGACGGTTTGTCCTTAAGGTGACAGACTATGGTTACAACGAGGTTCTGGAGGCGCAAAGGTTCCCCTTCGTTGAAGCACGGCCAGAAGGTAACAGATTAAGTATTTTTGAAAGTTTCCCCCCTACCAAAGCTGCATTTTAACCCAGCATTGAGAAAATTCACTTACTTTTTGGAAAGTTGTTTGATTAAAACACAGAATGTATTATACCAAGCAAGGCTAGTTCAACTGTTTCATTCATTTCTAGATGACTGGGTATACCTCAGATAACGAAATAATAATAAAAAAAAAAGTACATTGCAGTGCCAAAGCAACTAAAGAAAAGTTGAACTTCATACTAAAAAGTGTTTTGGTTAGAATAGTGCAGTGAAAGGTAACCCTCAATTTAGGTTTTTAACCTTGATTTAAAAATATTTCAAGAGTTCAGTGTTTTTATATCTTTCGATTAGGTTTTCTTTTTTTTTTTCGAAACAGTGTGAAAAGTGGGGCATAAAAAAATATTCTGCTGGGTCCTGTTTGATTGTGGATATGCTTAAAAGATTTACACAGATAACCTGGGTTTTCTGGATAGTCGATATGACAATAACTCATTATTACATTTTGTTCCTAAGCCGTTCAGTGATTTATAAACTACAGTAGTATTTTAAAGTCTATTCCCTGACATCCGGGAGTCAGAGTAAGTAGTTTAAAGCTAAGGGGATGTGCTCTTCTTTTTTAGTTATAGTGAGGAGACGGGCAGCAGATTTCTCAATCAGCTGCAGCTGACGGTTAGATTAAAATAAATGCAGGGATTCGTTTTTTAAGGCTCTCCTGAGACATTAGTCCTATTATTTTTGTCATGGAAAAGCTACTGCAACTTTTTTTCCTTTGGGATTGTTAAAATATTTTTGAACTGAATTGAATAATCCTGGAAAAAAAATTTTTAGGTGATAGGATGCCAACTTTGTTTCTAAGGCTCAGGTCTGCATCCATCTCCACACCCAGAAATTAGGCCTAATCAGTGGTTTCTAGCTGCAATAAATGAAACTGGGTGTGGCCTAATTATTTTATGCAGTAATATTTCCTTAGCTTTGTTGTTTGATTTAGCTGAATAAGATTATGGTTCACATGCTTTATGTTGTTGTATTCATTTATCTAGCTCTAGAATAGGTTCATAGTCACCTGGAGCAATGTGATATAGAGCAAGGTGTTGTTTGCAGAGTTATGGTAACTTTTATTGCTGTTCATTATTGTAAGCTAGAGGGAGCATGTAGATATTGTATTTAAATGTCTCTGTTATTGAACCTTTGGGAACCTCACAATGTGTTTTCCATTGGCTCTGCTCTAAAAAGTTACTCACTAGATCAAAGATAAGTTGTTTTAAAAGCTTATCACCTATTCTGCTTAGTGTAATTCAAAAAAGATAGTTTTATATAAGTGTTACTATCCTTTTCTTATAATGTATTCATGTTTTTGAAAAGGCCATTAAGAGGTTTAGGAAATGGGGATGCACCAATTTGGATTTCTCTTTAAGATCTCAAACACCATGTGATTTATATTTTTTGTTTCTTGAAACAATATGGTCATAATTTATATAAGAAGGGTTTTGGATGTGACACCATGTTTGTCAGAATGCAGCTGCTATAAGAGAGAGTTTTTTTTTTTTTTCGAAGTTGATAACATTTTAAAATCAAACACTCCTAAACAACAGATGGAGGGTAGAAGGTCAAAAGTACAAAACAGCCGTTTGTAGCCAAAGTATATTCCAAAAACGCCACCTTCATGGAGGAGACTGTGTGCGTTCACAGAACATTTCTCAAACTGTAGCAGCAGCAGGAAATTATTTATTTTTTTTGCTTGTGTTGTTACAGAGCTGTTGTGGACGGCTCCAGAGATCCTAAGAACCAGTACACCAGGACTCCATGGGACGCCGGCTGCAGATGTGTACAGCTTTGCCATCATTATGCAAGAGGTCGTGATCAGAGGGCCTCCATTTTGCATGTTAGACCTTTCTGACTCAGGTAAGACGACCTATTTGCAAACTTGGTTGTTCCATAATGCAGCCAAAATGCAGTCACATATGGCTCACCACCCTGGGTGTCAAAACACATGGGGCAGCAGGGCAAAGAAAGAAAACCTAAAAGTATAAAATTTGTTTTTGATTGTTTAGTAAATGGTGTTAGCTTTTAAACTCCAAACTCTTTGTCTTTGCTATGTTCCACGTAGCTAAGTTTTTGAATATTCAAATAATGAAATTAAATGTGAGGCTGTGTTTATTGGTTTTTCAGTTTCTTTATAAGGCATTAGCAAAGGATATGGCCCACGAGTTAAAAGCAACACATCAATGGTTTTGCATTACTAGTAAAATGTTAATAGAGATCTAAGGTAAAAATCTCAATGGATTCCAAAACAGTGTCCTATTAAGATTCAAAAAAAGTTTAATTCTAATACTAACTCACCAAAGGTACTTCAAACAGTAAATCTTAAAAATATGAATGAAATCTAACCAGTGTTGTTTTCGTCAATGATGATGAAATGATTTCGTTGACGCTCCTTTTTTTTTATGACAATAACAAAAACTGACGAGCTAAACATGGATCTTTGATGACCAAAACATGACTAGTCATGGGGTTGAGTTTTCGTCGAGACAAGATGAGACTGAATAATAATTAGCAGGTCGTCAGTCAGACATTTAGAATGCATCATTGTGCTGTAATCTGCTAAGCAGTATCAGCCGTTCTGCTGCGTCCTGTTTGGTCATGCTGCCCACCTGGCGTGAAGCTGTGCTTATTCTACATGAACACAGATAGACCGTGGCATTAGCGGCAGTGGAGAAAATAACCTGGAATGGTCCGGTACTGCAGGCTGAACTCTTGATAAATTCTGCTCTTCCAGCTTTGATGTGCAGAATGCATCTCTGTGCCCGTTAAGCTCCCTGTCTGCGCTTCTCGCTCCACACTGATGGTTCGCTCTCAGCATTATGTCTCCTCCTGCCCTCATTACTTAATAAACTATATGTGGCTGATCATCCTCTGCCTAGCATAGAAAATGTGTTTGTATAACTATCAAGATTTTATTTCTTACACCTCAGAAAAGGGGATGCCAAACCTTCTTTAATTTCTACCAAAAGGAATCCCTAAATTATCCCTGTTTATTTTTGGATAAAGAGCCAGGTTAAAATGTAGATATTTGAATATTTATCTCTCATAGTTCTCGTTTCTATTTAAATATGATGTCAATTTTTCATTGTATTGTCATTGAAACATTTTTTGTTTCCTTTGAATGTTTCAACATTTTTGTTAGCATATTCATTCAATTTAGGTCTGGATTTACATGGCATTAAAAGGCAGTTATGTATGTTCTCTCTCTTTTTTTTTTTTTTTTAATTAAAACCCTTTTAATCATAATCTACTTTGACCCCTGAGCAGCAGTAACTAAGGGGTAAATTCTCAAAAAATAAAGCCATGATTGCCAAAGTAGAAAGAAGAATGTTTTTGTTCTATGCTTGTTTGGAGTAATGAAGAATTTATTGATCAGTGTGTAATGTATAATTCTTAGTAGATCAGGAAGTGTTTGCTTTACATTGGAAAACTTGTATGTCTAAAACCATTCTTTTATTGTACATTTTGTTGCTTGTCTGTCTGCTGCATTAACCAATATGAGGCACTGAACTAGATCTGCTATTTTCACAACTTTTGTGAGACAATTTTTTTATAAAGTAGGGCATCAATTCATAAAAAAGTTGATGATGAACAGCACGACAGCATTCTATATCCAGCAATTGTAGTATCTAGGCAAGAGCTGTCAGTCAGGTAAAGAATTTTGTTGTTATTCGAAATTGTAAAGGTTAACTGTTTTATGAATTTTAACATAGAACTGACTAAAACTAGACTAAAACCTTTTTAAGTTTTAGTCGACTAAAACCAACTAAAACTATCACATATTGTTATGACTAAAATGCGACTAAAATTAATAATAGCTTTTGTCCTGAAGACTAAGACTAAGACTAAAGATGGCTGTCAAAAACACTAGTCTGCTAATCAGATGTCCCTGTCGTTTGATGGAGGACATTCTCTCTACCTCTAACCATGCTACCCATTGTGTAAGAAGCAAGCTTCTGTTTTATGTTCACAGAAATATTAGAAAAACTACGCAAGCCTCCGCCTCTGTGTCGTCCAGTGGTCAGTCCAGATTATGCTCCTATGGAGTGCATCCAGCTGATGAAACAATGCTGGACTGAGCAGCCAGACAAAAGGCCAACATTTGAGGACATATTTGACCAGGTTATTCCTTTTCCAATCAAATGGCACTAAAATTTGTATTTTATTATAAAAAAAAATCTTCTTAAAGTGCACTTATTAGTTAATTGTGTTTGATATCCTCCATATCTGTTGTTTCAGTTCAAAAACATCAATAAGGGAAAGAAGACCAACATCATAGACTCAATGCTGAGGATGCTGGAGCAGTATTCTTCCAACTTGGAGGAGCTGATCAGAGAGCGAACAGAGGAGCTGGAGATAGAAAAGCAGAAGACAGAGAAGCTTTTAACACAGATGCTTCCCACGTACGTTACCAGATACATGCATATACAAATGAACTAACTGTTCCTGGATTTGCAGACATGCTTTAATTGTGTTGAATTTTCGTTCCCATCAGGTCAGTGGCAGAGGCTTTGATGGTGGGATCGGTAGTGGAACCAGAACATTTCGACAACGTGTCCCTCTATTTTAGCGACATCGTTGGTTTCACCACCATCTCAGCCAACAGTGAGCCTATCGAGGTGGTCGACCTCCTCAATGACCTTTACACGCTATTTGACGCTATTATAGGAAACCACGATGTCTACAAGGTAACAGTTTTCAGGGGTTTTTCCTGAGTATTTAGAGATTGTTTTAAGTGGTTGAACATGTGGCTCATTTTCTTATGTCCCTTTCTAGGTGGAGACCATTGGCGATGCCTACATGGTGGCATCGGGTGTTCCAGTCCCCAATGACAACCGTCATGCTGCAGAAATTGCCAACATGTCTTTGGATATCCTCAGTGCTGTGGGAACCTTCAAAATGAGGCACATGCCAGACGTCCCTGTCAGAATTCGTATAGGTCTCCACACAGGTGAATAAATATTACAGGTTAAATGTGATGGTCCTTAGCTGCCTATCAGACTTTGGGATGACACCAAACAATGTACATTAATGGACATGATTTCTTTATATGCCGTATCTCTACGGTTGATATGGCATTATCTATATTCCGACAAAAAAAGACAATAGAAAAGTGGGATATTCTTAAACTGTTACCCTGATCAAATTGAACTTAAACAAAGATGTTTAACATAAACATCGATTTGCCCTTAAAATCTTGAGAAAAAACATTTAGTAACACGTAAACATATTTAGATGGTCATTTAGCCAAACTCCTTCGCAGGTAAATGTTCTTAGAACATGAGTTGGCAAAATAGCGTTATATTTGGCCTGAATGGAGGGATGGAGGGCATTAGAGGAAGTTTGGTTCTTTAATGTTGATTTAATAGTGTGTAAATGCAAGGTTAATCACAGCCAAATATCAATAATGTAAACAAAAAAGAGCCAAGAGAATCCACCCACCCACCTGCTTATCCTGTAAACCACCAAGGGATATAGGTGCCTATATCCAGCTATCCCTGGGTGAGGGGAAGTACATCTCCAGTAACAATGCACGAACTGCACTTGTTTCTTTGCACATAACTAGAAAGTGTTAAGTGGAGGAAACGTACATTTTTAATAGAATTCTTTCTGCATAATTATTGTGTGGATCTAAGTCTATAAGGCGAAATGTTGACTTTGGATCTGTGATGTGTTGCAGGTCCGTGTGTAGCAGGTGTGGTGGGTCTAACTATGCCTCGGTACTGTTTGTTTGGAGACACAGTGACCACTGCTTCTCGAATGGAGTCGAGTGGAATGCGTAAGTTCACTGAGGTCACACAGCAAGTGGATGAAATAGTTAGACAAAGAAGGGCTTATTTCCTGCCAATTTGTTAAACCTTTTCATAGAAAACAAAAATTTACTGATTAAAATACATTAAAAAACACATCTAACACTGTCATAAGAAAGATAGTTGCATTTTTTTTCATTGTATGTTTTGAGTAATTTTTTTAATCAACATGTGCTTTGAAAGCCAGTATAACCTGCAGATAAAGATATATGAAAAATTATCATCTTAGCCATCACTTTTGCTATCGGTTTGCTGATCATGTGGAAAGCATTTTACTTAGTGTTTTCAACAACTGCACAGTTTATTCTGGTTAAATGTAACATGCAAAGTCTTTATACTGATAAAGTTTTTTGGATTTTTTGCAATAGCCTACAGGATTCATGTCCATGAGAGCACAGTGAAGGTCCTCCGGGAACTCAATCTTGGCTACAAGCTTCAGCTGAGGGGCCGTACCGAAGTTAAAGTACAAATCGTCAACAAATCAAATGATTATTTGACCTAAACTACTAAAGGCCTGACCAAATGGTTAAAATGTGACTTCACCTCTTCCTTAGGGAAAAGGAATAGAGGAAACATACTGGCTTACAGGAAGAGATGGATTCACCAAACCTCTGCCAGTTCCTCCAGAACTCAAGACAGGGTACGACTTGCTTTTGATTCCTTTCTGTTTGTCTTTTTTTTCTTCTTGTTGCTCCCACCTCCTTGTTTAGCTAGTATTTGTCCACCCTTGTCCAAGTTCTGAGTCCTGCACTGGTTTCCAATAATTCTAGTCTCGGGTCTTTAAATAGAAGTAGCCCACTAATTGGTTTATCTTTCAAGTTAAAAACACTTTTGCTCATGTTCTGATCTTTACGTATAGATTTACTATTACCTTCTCTATTCTCCTTTACAAGAAGAATAAAATAATGCAGTTTTGAAATTTTTTTCTTTTTTATTTAAATTAAAGGATGTGTCTTTTGGAAACTAAAGCTCCCTTAATCGGAAATGTAGAAAATGCCAAAATGATGTACAATAGTTAAAAAACAGCAGCAAGCTCTCCCAAGAAAACTTCAAATGTTTAAACCTGCAATTTTTCCTGCTTACATAACAGTGGTTGAAATAGCAAAAAGACGGTGGAAGCATAACACTTACCAACGCCAATCGGACTTTACTTTTTCACTATCTATCAAATCAGACTTTAGACAGTTGAAGAAATTATATGTTACAAATGAAATGATATTTGTACAAATTAATCAGTAATAAAAAGGCCAACAGCAGGCTCCAACACACAGCGACACACATACATACAAAAAAAGGCATATTCAAAAGAAGCCCAGGTGGACATGGGGTTATCTCAGCTGTCAAACTAATTCAGGTCAAATTACTGCCCACTATTATCCTCTGATAAACAGAATTTTTGCACAGACACAGCGAATAATCACAAAAATATGTAATCTGTCGATTGCAGCTCTACGTTTTAGGGTCATTTCTTGAGGTTGTTGAATATTTACCAAAGCACATGAAGCACTGAATTTCCAAGTGGATAAAAGTCAACACATTTCTTGATAATATTAGCTCCTGGTGTAATGACTCAGATGAGAGGGACCGAGTGTTCAGGCAAGACTGACAGTGGGATAACTTGAAAAGCGTTTATTTAAGCAACGACGGATAGTTTGCGGATCTGCAGCAGCAGCGACTAGGGCGTCCGGGGCAGTTAACTGTTTTTTTTTATAGCTTAGACCATGCCCAGTAAATGAGGTTATACCAGCCTGTCAGCTGACAAGACACAGCACTTGCTGCACAGAGAGTTCCAGATACCAAAACTTTGAAGGACACAGACAGTAAAGAGGCAGGTCCAGGCTCAGCCCACAGTCAAATCCAACAGAATCCGAAGACAGGTCAGGCAAACAGATCCGAACAGGTACAGACAGGCTCAAAAGTCAGAAGACAGAAACGGGTCAGAGTCAGGCATCAGAACATTATTTTTAATGCTAGAAAAACTCTCACCAAAGGCTCAAGAATAATCTGACACTGATGGTTGGGACGAAGCAGTTATAATGGAAGCCAGAGCAGGTGGATCAGGTGGAACAGTGATTAGAAACAGGGCAGAGTTAGACAGGTGAATGGAATCAGCAATTAAGCCCGCCATCAGCACCAAGATCATGACACCTGGTTCCCAAACAGTTTCCCTAGTTACAATTTTGAAGTAGTTTTAATCCATTAAATGCTGGTTGGTTCTCCCGTTATATTAATTTTATCCAACAAATAACAGAGTGAATAAAGATAAAAGGATAACATAAAATTAAGTTTGAATTTAACGAAAGACAACTGAGGAATTGTAATAAGATAGAACCATGCAAATTTAAGTAAAACAGTCAATGCTAATATAATGACTATGGCCTACGAACTGGTAGAAATTTCATCATCATTTTATTCTTGTACTTGAAAACTGCTTTAGTTCGAGATTAAGATGTTTTCCTTATGGGATAATAAAATACAAAACAATAGGTTATCAGAAAATATACCAGTGATCATTGTGTCAAATTGATGGCATAGGTCTACCTACATACTACTGTAATTTCACCAAATACAGTCCACATAATTTGCTTAAAAAGTAAATGCAATTTATGCATTAATACTTAAAAACATGGAATTAATTTGAGAACAGCACAGAGAGATAGACCAATTCAAACCACTTTTGTACAACTTGGGGATTAATAGGGTTTTCTTGGAAATTGAAGGGTATCTCAATGTAAATGGTGATGAACAAAGCCAATCCTATACCTTTTGATTTCTTGTCAGGTAGTGAAATTTAAAGAGACCTTAATAAAATGGGTTTTGAAAGTAAGATGATATAAAATAAGTAAAATTTGCTTGTTCCAAAACTGAGAAAAACTGCTATTTTAATGATAAAAAAGGATAATTAAATCACATTTTGAGTTTTTGACATTTTGCATGGCCTCTCAACGTTTGCTGTACTTGATGCCATTGTGGCAGCGGGGGGTTTTGGCGGGCATTAAAGGTCTTGCCCTGGGAGCCAGAGTGGCAGACTGTTGGAGTGGAGCTTGAACTCAGAACATCAGGATTCCTTATTCAGGATTTGATCTTTGATCAAGTAGGCACAGATTTTACCCTTATGTCTGTTAAAAGCTTTCTTGGTATATTTACTAATATTTCAACATTTATCAAGATAATGTTGCCCTCATAATACAAGAAAATGTCCCTCTAAGATAGAAATAAAGATGTCGGGTAGACAGAAAACCTTTTAAAACCTTATTATATTGTCTCATCTGCATTTTCAGTCCATTTCAGCTGTTTACAACTGAAAGCAGGACTCAAGGACATTAAAACCATTATAGAAAGCCTTGAATAGTCGGGAAATACGATGCCATTAAATCAGAGCACAGATTTGACAATAATTTAAGCAAGACTGAAAGTCATTTCCTAGGCTGCTAAGTGGTGTACTGCAGAACGATAGCAGTAGTCTAACCCTAGGCAACTCATAAAGTTTAGACCGATGTGCAATCAAGGCGATCCGTCAGCACTTAATCCTCACAAGAGCTATTCTTAATGCTTGCACAGACAAAACCTTTAAAATGCACAGAGATCTCTTTTAGCGGTTGGCCATGAGAGTTTCTTTAGATAACAGTTTTTCGAAATGATTCCAGAGGAATATTGACTAGTTAATGGTGAAAGGGAACAACTTATGCCCGTTGTACATCATGAACGATCTGCACAATTTTTAAAATAAAAGACTAGATATAGAATAGTTATTATAACAATAATTATATCAACAGAATTATTACTGGATTGGTTAAATCGTTGTATTTCATATAGGACTGTGTTATTCATGTTTACCAAAAGATAATGACTAGCTTAAATAACTAGAACTGGAAGTTATAATTAATAAATTAATGAATAGGTCATTCAAAATTGAGGGTAAAACCAATTAATTACAATGAGTTGAAATAGTAATTTGACTTTAATTTGATAACTCACAAGAGTTCTAAGTGTTTTAAATAAAAGGTTGGACTCCTGGATCCGGCTGTTTAAAAGTCAGTTGTCTTTTGCTAATTTAGTTATTTAGACCATGGCTATTAGCAGAGTTATTAATCACCAACATAATAAATCTGTCGCTTTTTATTCAGATGTTAGTGAAAGAAGGTAAATCCAGCCTGAGTGATAAACCGTTCACTGTGTAAACTAAACACAAAACACCACGGGCAATGGTACCTCTAGTAGCTAATAATCCCAATGCAGGCAACGAAACACTGCTGAAAATAAGCACTATAAATAAACAATAAATAAAGCGGAAAAGGTGGTTTAAAGGTCCATTCGAGAGTCTCGGAGGAATGTTCAAGTTTTAAGGTTTAATGCAATTAAGGTGTCCTTTCAAATATCCGCAGATAAATGTGAAAAAACCCTGACACAGATGTTAATGCAGTCAAAACAGTTAAGTTTCATGTGAATTAAAATTGAAAAATGAACAATGACTCAGGAATGCAGTAAGCTGTAATAAAGCTGAAAGACAAAGGGTTAGCTTATCTGGCCCCAGGGGGTCTGGTTTGGCGGGTCCAGCTGAAACAAAGGAAAAGTTAGAGCTCACAATGTGGCCTCTAAAATGTGGCCAGACATGTGGTAGCTTGGAGCTAATGATGCTAGCCAGTCCACTGGAGCAGTCTCTCCAGAAACAGATGGTAACACCACGTCGTTTGCTCATTCTGTTCAGTGAGTCTTAGCATTCAGTTCAGAACTCTTAAAACCATCAGCAGTTGGATCAGAAAGCTTATTTCAGATAAAATACAACAAATTGACAACTATCTATCCTAACTAGTTCACCCAAGCAGAGTACTTAGAAGGCATCACATGGAAGACAGTGAAAGATGGATGTTACTGTTTTGGCGCGATGGAATGGAAGGGACTTTTTAACTCAGTTCGGCTCGGCTCGGTTTGGTCCAACTTGGCGACCACGTCTTCAGTCCAGTCTGGTTGTCCAACAGCAGCTCTCAAAGATATTTGGATTAATCCGATGCAGAGACAACTTTGCAGGGCTCAATATTATAGCAAACAGTGGTGGAAGACTCAGTCAGTGGCAGGAACAGTATGGCATGGGTTAGCGGCTCGTAATAGCTCCTTGGCAAACAGCAATTAGGCCCAGCTGTTCCATCAGCAGTTAAGGGCTGGATATACTCCCACAGCAGTGTGTCGCAGTGAGCTTGTCGCAGGTATGAGCGTGGTCTGCGCTATATTATTCCAAGCTACAATGCAAGAGGGAAAATCACAAACAAGATGTGGTTCTACATAGGGCAGGACATGAGGGTGAAAGCAAGCAGGGATCCAGGTGGAAAAAGGGCCGCATTCTTGCACACCTCGCTCTTCTAGCTGGTCCTTCTTCACGAGTCGTTCTCCACAATGGTGTTCATATAAACAAAACAAGCCGGTAAGGTACCAAACAGGAAATGCGCATAGTGTAAAGTGGATGTAGATCTGACCAATCAGAGGCTTCCTGTCTGTGGCACTGTCTGCGGTCACTGACAATTTTGGAGAGGTGCAGCAGAGTGTCTGCAGAAGGGGCGGGGGTGTATCTGCATTAACTGTGACACACACGTAGACGACCTGGTTTCTGAGTATAAATCAGCCTTTTGGTGTTGGTCAACCAGA